GGTGACACGGTAGGTATAGGCGGTGTCCTTTTTTTTTGACACGCATGTGGCCTTTTGGACAACCGACCCCTCTTTTTTCTATAATTTACATATTTGTTTATTATTACTTAGGATTATAGTCTGACGATATTCTTCATTTGTAAGTAAATGATTTTATGTTCTATTCTAGCCAAACAAAATTTGAACCACATTATTGATAATTCTTGTGAAGCATAGTGTGCTTAAAAAATTTGTTCCTTAGTTGCCACGTAGTACTTTTTGTAGATAATATCGTTTGTTTCAATAAATAAATATAGATATATATATATATATATGTTCTTTTTGTCATATGGTACTACAGTCTAATGATATATATCTTCAATTGTAATAAGAGGTCTTTCAGTTTGATTCTAATTTGAATCACATTGTTAGCACATTATGAACTTTAGACTACTCTCTTTCTTAGTATAGATATCATTTGTCCAAAAAAAATAAAAAATTGTTCCTTAGCCAATTGGTACTACTCTACAGTGATATTCATCTTCACTGGTAAAAAAAAGATACCCATTTTTTTACACTCTTAATATATATAATATGGTTAAAAATATATTTCATTATTTACTACATTAGTAGGACCACCTCCCCTAGAAATTCTCTCTACCATCCTCTTCTCTCTCTCACTTTTCTCTTCTTTTTTTTCTTTGTATAAAAAAATCAACACAAAATATTATTTTGACTTAAAATAAAAATGAGCAAGGAAACGAATTTGGAAAAGATAAAATTCTTTATTTTAATGGTTGCTTCTATATACAACCACGTGGCGGGCCTGTGAGAATACGACATTCAAGTGTTTGGTTTTGTATCCCACACGATATTACTTTTGAGAATGACACGATCCCTATTCAATATTTTGGTTAAATTTTTTTTTTCTATTTATCAATTTATAAAAAGAATAATTTTATTTTTTATTTTTACAAAAGTAAATATATTACCAACGAAAATAAAACAAGCATTACGTTAAGGTCTAATACCAAATAAGCACACAGAAAAATAGACTATAAAACACAAAAAAACTCAAAATTAGTTTTGCTCATGACACATAAAACACCAAATAGCAAAACTATAGGGAAGCTACAATCTCTGTAACTATTGCCTTCGTTACATAGTTCTGCCGCGCCTTGACTGCCTGCAATTATAACAACATAAATCCAATTGTCGAGTAAAAGAAAGGTCGTTGCATCCTCCTAGGATCACATTAACAACGAAGTTCGCATACAATGGGAATGATCAATAAGGATTAATAAAGGTAATAATGTGAACACCAAAGCCAAAGCTCTATATACCCTCTCAAAATTTCGCGATAAATCACAAAAAAATACAAACGATAATTGATCGAACTTGTTGTAATCAATTTACATAAATCATACACTTTATGTTCTGTTTTCTATTTCATGCTCGAAGTTTATATGTGAAAACCTTTATCAAGAATAACCTTCCCAATAATGGGATGTCTACACAATTTTGTGAAAAGAGTCTATAAAAAGAAATTGAAATATAGTATTATTCTAGGATATATACATTTAGCTTCTATGTTTGAGAGTGTGAAAGCGGTGACACCTCATGTTTTGACACAATGTTTTATAATGTTTGATGAGAATTAACATTAACCTGTTAGGTATTATAGAGTTCATATAAAGTTTCACTTTAAGAGAGGCTCCTTAGAACATCTACAAAGAAGATGTCAAAACACACCAACAATAACAAAAAAAAAAAGAAAAAAAAAAGTCAACACTAGTGTTTTCCAACCAAAATGCTAATATGTATCATGATGTGGAATGGCAGCAAAAAAAGTTTGTCAGCAGCTTCAAATATTTTTTAATTAATTATTAAATGTTTTGTTATTTTAAAGCATTATCTTTTCATTTCCTTTCATTAATTTTGAATGCAATGTTTAAAATATTTGTATTCCTTTTATTTTGTTTCTTTTCATTATCAATGCAAAGAAAATAAATATGAAATTTTATTTTATACTTAAAATTTGATATATTGGGTTGAAAGAAATTTTTTAAAACATATTAAAATGTCACAGACTGTCAAATTTGAGTTACATGTTTTAAAATATGACATCTTATTTGCTTGTATTTTCATGAGTTACATATGAATGACCAAACAGCTTTTTGGGAATTTCAATTACATGCATTTATATAGAAAATAAAAAATGGAAGTGCCCGTATAAAAAAGGTGAGCATAGCTTAATAGCATTGGCATTCATGGAAAGTGGAAACAACCGGTGACCACCTGCCACGTAAAGGGTATGGGCTGTCAAGCAACAAGTCCCCAGTCCCCACATGTGGTGACCCACCAGTGGGATGAAGTGCCACGTCAATGGCATAAAAGGTCAGTCACTGTCCCTAACCAGAGAAATTTTTAGTTACGATGGGAACACGGATGGTATACCACGTGTTTCTATGTAAATGGTGAAATTTTTTAATTTTTAAGTTATTAACCTTTTAACACACATATCACACTATTTGTATAGATACACGTAATGTACCATCTCGTGTAACGGTCACATTAAAAAATCACTACCCTAACTGACTCAACCTCAACGTCCTCCTCTGACCACGGTTTACTTCACCCATTGTGTAACGAATACCATTTATTATTATTATTTTTTATTTTTTTGAAAAAAACGATAGTGATTTTTTTTTAATAATTCAAGAAAATGAACAATTTTCAATAAGGATATTCTGAATTAAATTCGAAGGTGTTTCAAACCAACAAAAATTAAAATTTGAAGCCAAGGCTAGCTTGACTAGCAACATTGACGGATCGACGGATGTGGCAGACCTTGAAAGAATCAAGGCCTCTCAAACTGACTTGAATATCTTCAATCAACTAGTCAGTCTGTGTGGAATAAATTTTGAATATATAAGACCATTCTTTTTGAGAGTTCAATAAATACAAATTTAAATTTGAAGGCTTATATTTTACTTTAATTTTTATTTTTAATTTTTTTATTCAATATGTCTAGTTTAAATTATTATTTATTATTATTATTTATCTTTTGATAGTTATAATAAATATTTTTGAAACAAAAATAATCATAAAAATGCGGAAAAACATTTATTAATCATTCAAAATAAAATAAAAAGAAATTAAAGTTGGTACTTAATACTACAGCAATCTAGTAGTATTTCTCTTACTTGTAAGTGAAAATTTTTATATTTAATTCTTACCACAAACGATTTTGAATTACATTATTTCTTATCCATATCCATTATAATATTTAGCCCACTGCTCCATGAAAGATAGTTAGGTTGGATTGGTTCATACAATATTACTAATTGACATTTTAAGCTAAAATGATGTTCGAGATAAGTATAATTCTATTTGAAATCGATAGAAATGATTCTTATTTAGTAGATATTTTTCACGAAAAGATTAAAATAATTTGTGTAAACAATGTTAAAGACCAATTCTATACATTTTAAATTTTATACATCAAAGTAAAGAGTTATATTAATTTCACAGATAATGTTGACTAAAAAAAAATATTTACTAATAATATCTCTTTATTCAGCAATCGAACAAAGAGCAAAAAAAATAATATAAAAATCCCTACAGAAACCCAACATGCATCAAGAAGGCAACACGTATTGGAAATTGGTAATTCCCAACACACACACGACATTGCAGAAGGTGGAAGGAAGAGAAGAGAAGGCATCGAAAAGCTTCGACGGATTCGGAGACGTGGAGGCTTGCGTTGCGGCTTCAACGTTGAACCGTTGATCACGGTTGACACGTACAAACCCGCAGATCCAGTCCCCCACGTCACTGCTTCCGGTTTGAAATTCAGATGGGGAACTTGGAAATGACGCGCTGCTTTCCTGGTAAGTTAGGTTTCCTTTCACCAGAAAATATCTCGCGACGTTGTCATCTTTCTGTACAGTTGTCTGTGCAAACCCTCAGATATTTTCGTTTTCCATGTGGCGCCATTATTACCACCTTTTATTTTCTCTACGTTTTCTCACCAAACAAACAGATCATAGGGTCTAATTTCAATGATAGAGTGTCCGTAGATAGGGAAGTAAGCACAAGATGTGGATAGTTAATTTTAAGTTGAGTTACGTTCAAGCTAATATGATCCTCTTTGTAAGGAACTTAGAGATCTTTTAATTGTGTCAGTTTATCGTACAATGTACAATGAACGGACACGATAGTAGAGAAGCTCTCATTAATAAGATAGAGTGTACATGATACATAGATTTGAGCATAATCATCATTAGTGAATTCTAATAATATGATTTAAGTAAAATAATGTCCTTAAGAGATTAATGGTATGATATGTTTTATAGTTGAGGAGATTTTCCTGCTTGCGTCCATGTTCGATGTGGGACTCTAAGTGCTCCATTCTGATGTTAATATTTATCATGTGGTGATTGGTCTCTTGATGATGTAGGACTTTAAGTGCTTCATTATGATGTTAACCTATATCATGCGGTGATTGATCTTTTGATTAGAGAGGAACTCATGTGCTTTGGTAAGGTGGCTCAGCATGAACGCCGCAGTAGTTGCTGAAGGTATGAAGTTGGAATACTCGGTATTTTCGAAATTGATGAGTATCGTACAAACACTAAGTAAGGTCCAGAGAAATATGAGCTATAAGCAACTTTAACTTGTAGATTGAACGTATGAAAGCGCCAAACAAAGAGTACAAGAAAAACGTGAGACAAACTTAGAGAACTCAACTTGAAGGACGCTCGCATTTCATTAGAGCTTCTGAAGAATTAGATAACTCGCTAGATTCGTTTTAAACCAAATGCAAGAAGGGCCATATTTAAATTTTATCCGCGTTGAAAGAAACAGATGGACAGCTTCGAAAGTATTAATATCTTTTCATTTTAAAAGGTCTAGGTTTTGCTAATCACAAATTTACTGGCAGAGTTTGTTATTTACACTTCATCATAATCATTCGGCTCGTTAATAATAAAATTAGAAAAAAAAGGAGCGCATGATGATTATTTTAAAGCGTTTCCTCGAAATTGCACCAATTTTATTCCAATGTTTGTCCATAATTATAAATTGTTTTTCCCAGGGATTCCAGTGCAACAGTACGAGTGAGTAGCACAAATCCGTTCATAAAAAAAATGTGCAAAACCAAGGGAAGCATGGTAAGAATGTGAGAGACAAGAGGATCAAAATGGCCGCCTAGTAGGGTTGAAACTGTTTACAGTCATTCCTCCATCAACAGAAATAATCTGCCCGGTGATGTACGATGCGGCGGGCAGGCAAAGGAACGCCACCAGAGATGACACCTCCTCCGGCTCTGCAACGCGCTCAAGCGGAGTTCGCGCCGTTATCTCTTCCAAAAACTCCTTGTTATCCAGCAACTGAAACCACAAAACTCTGTTAAATACATCGACAAATAGAGATTAATTATCAACCCTAAATTTGAAAACTTGAAACAAAAGCCAACTCATGAAACATTCCAATTGCACAGCAGATCCAATCTTACATGAGCATAAAATGTACTCAATCAACCTCAATGCAATGACTAAAGTTCTCTTTCTTCAGTTACATTCCAGAAAATCGAATCTTGGACCTGTCCTAATCCTAACTCATTAGCCGACCCGTTCTTATTGTGCAATATCTAATATATCACAGTAAGAGATTCGTAATGTTGGATGTGTACTAAACTTGAGAATAAGAACCTCAGCTTGATCCAGTGAAATGATCATTCGTTTTCACTTGTATGGTGGGACACAAAACTAATTAAGGTTTCAGTACTTGATTCCTGGGAATGTGAGGTGTAAAAGGTAAAGGCAAACAAGATGACGATGCTTCAGTATGATGATAAAAGACTACCAGGAATGCAACAGAACCATTGCGAGGAGAATCCATGGTGTTAAAAATACTCATTCCTCGCAAAGTAAACGCATACGTATGAAAAGGAAAAGAGTTATTCTCCGTGAGACAAAGAAATTGCGAGTCAGTTTTAAGGATATGCTGCAAAAACTATTCTCAAACAAGTTGAGTATACAGGAAGATTAAAAGATGCTGTCGAAAGAAATACTACTGGAAATTGGTAGTCATTGATGTTGATTGATATTATAGTAGATGACGAACTCAACATAAACTTAAGCTGCTTAAAGGCGTTTACATGATTATGAACAAAGGTTTTTGCATTCATACCCTAAAGATTTGAATACTTCGTAATCACGCGTATAATGCAGACTACTATTTCTGAATTAGTAGTATCCAGGGGACCTGGCGTATCCGTGATTAACTACAAATTCATCAGTCAGACCAAAAAGACTCGATTCATCAGAAGTTTAAAACCTTTGGCACATGCCTGCATAAATCCCTCAGAAACTTGTCTCACTAAATTTAGTACTTATCAAATATCATTTGCAAGAAAAGCATGGTAGGTTTTGAAAGAGATGGGTGAGTGGGATACGGGCTGAAGCCCCACAGAAGGGTCTACTAAATCATACCTTTATACATCCTGAGATATTGTTCATAGTCTTATAAGCTGAACTGAATCCTCGTACATGCTATCAGATAATCTCTTGCCACTATTCTAAGTTGAACATCATGTACATGCACATCGATATCTCTTGTATCTACATTTTCAGAAAATATTTGGACATTATCCATTATATATGATTACATTTGTAACCATGGAACTCATACAACTCCCTATCCTAATACATAATAACCCGAGAAAATAGAACTAACTTACTCACAATCAATGTAATTTGCATTATAGGGTGAAAAAATAAGTCTAAGGATTCCAGTGCATTTCAAGGTGAACAGACATGGTATGAAAATGGTAATACTTCTTTAAAGCGCATACACGAAAAGTTGTAATAAATAAATATTGGATTATATGTGTAGCACCTAAATGGCCATGGCAAGGAAGGAGAATTACATGTTCCACAAGTGAGGTTCTAGTGTACCAAGGGCAGACAGCATTGCTCCTGATATTGTCTTTCGCCCACTCACAAGCCAGATTTTTCGTAAGCTGATTGATTGCAGCTGAAAACAGAAAATTGGTGACAATACCAACAAGACTTAGCTTTCTCCTTCGCTCTCAATCGAATATAATCCATAAGATGCGGCAAAGAAAGACACCAAAACAGAGCAATGACTCACCTTTACTTGCTCCATAAATGGACCCGGAAGCTATACTGGCCAGCCCGGCAACAGAGGATACAAACACAATGCTTCCTCGCCCAGATGCTTTCAAAAGAGGATGTGCAAGTTGGGAAAGATGGTATGTAGATTCTAAGTTGGTAGCCATGAGTGATGAATATTCTTCAGAAGTGTACTCAGTTGTTGGCTTCCTGATGTTAGTCCCAACATTGTTTACCTAAATCCCATAACAAAATTCAAAGAAATTCTACGAAAAGACGCCTATTTAATTCGAGACTCGAATCGAAGTCACAACCACAAACCATTTCTACTCATCCACTGAAATATCAAAAAGTTTTCTTTTCTTCTTTGGGGCATTTATACAAACAGCTAGAGAGCAAATCACACAGACACAGGGTGAAAGGGAAGCTTACAAGTATGTTGAGCTTGCCATTGAAAGTGGAAGCGACTTGCTCGATGAGCTTTTCTCTCTCGGTTTTGGAAGAAACATCGCAGATTGACCCAGTGACTGAAAAGCCCTTAGCCTTCCATTGCTCTAAGCACTTGGAGAGTTCTGCTTCGTTTCGAGAACAGGTGTGCACCGCCGCGCCGAACCCAGCTAGCTCCTCCACCAAAGCGTACCTGAATTCAAACAGGACCGAAAAATCAAATCCCAAACAATTAATTTCAACGAAAAATTCAGTTTTTATTAATGTTCTTTAAGATATTAAGAAACCCACGAGACCAATTGAAGAACTTTGTAAGATAAAGTGTGCGTGAAATAGAGAGAGACCCAATTCCACGAGTTCCGCCGGTGACGAGGGCAGCCCCGCCGTGGAGAGACCATCTGGCGTTTGGGTAATTGCTCTCTGCCTTGGCCATTTTCGCGGTTTGCAAGCAAACTTCAGTGAACTGTAAACTTATCGCAAGTTGCCAAAGAGGCAGCGCCTCCAATACTACAGAAGAGACGTACCAAACTAAAGTTTCCATTAGCTTTTTTTTTTCACCGAATAATATTAGGTAGATTAAATTTATCGAGAAAATTTAGCATTCAAATTTAGAGATGAGCTCGGAAAACCAAATACAGAACCAATTGAAAAGGGAATTAATGCTAATATAATCAAATTGAACTGAAACTATTGGTTTGGTTTCAGTTTTGTTGGTTCAAAAATCAAATTGAACAGAATTGAACACATATAAATTAGTATTTTATTTATTTATTTATGTTAAGTATTTGATTTTCAAGCTCAATTTCAAATAAATTATTAGTTTAATTTCAACTTTAAGCCCAAATATACCGAGATCCTCTAGATTTTTTTTCTCTTCATCTTCTCTCCAATTTCTAAGTTAAAAAGAAAAAAAGTTGAAAAGAAAAAAATATCAAACCGAAAAAGTCTAACCGAACAATAAATTGGGTTTGGTTTTCAGCAAAAAAACAAACCGAATAAAACTGCACCCACCCCTATTTAAATGTTCGATTTGTGCCACTTTTCTTTTTTAAGTAGTTAAAAATATTTCCCATACACGAGGCCAGGTGTTTGATTCCCCAATCTTCCAATCTTAGTACTATTCTGGCCAGCCCATTACCATGAATTACTTGGGCCTCATACACAGTTCAAGTTTTGGGCTTCTTGGCCCAAACAAGATTTTCCTTCACTAACTGCAGTTGGTTCGGATGCCTTGGCATACAGAGGCCCTTTTTGCATGCTCGTTAATTTACGTGCAAAAGCTAAAACGCTACAAAGCTTTGCGGTCTAGTGGTATTCATTTTTACTTGTAAGTGAATGGGTTTAGATTTGATTCTTACAAAAGTCGAATTTGAACCACATTATTATTAGCCCATTGTGAGGTTAAACCCATCGCATCCTCCTTAAAGTAGATAATATTGTTGTTAAAAAAAAAATAAAACTGTTCAAACACTAATGCATTCCAATAAAGAAGCTCAATTTACACGCTTTTTTTTTTAATGCAAAAGCGAAAATACTACAATACTTTGGTGCATAAGCTGCACCAATATATTGGACGGATAGGTATTGCATGATTAGGGTTGAACAGTCTCAGTTTAATCATTCAAATACGGATATGCATCGCATACAACAATATTAAAATCACATAAAAAGCACCCAAAACCAAGTAACCCACCAAAAGCCACAAGCAATTTGTCAAAAGCTCACTTAAAGCTGAGGAGTACTACAATATCTCCTCATTCCCTTGTAAAAATTTCCTCTTTAGTGAAAGAAATAAACAGAGAGAGAGAGAGAGAGAGAGAGAGAGAGAGTTCATATATCCATGTGCTTTTCTGGCTCTACAACTGCACCTTAAATTAACCTCACTCTCAATAGCATTTGCAGACCTCGATAACTGGTAAAAAGTAGAACCAGACCAACGAAACTACTTGAACTGCCAGACCAGACACTGCCCCAAATAATATCGTTACCTTTTCAAACCCTCCCTCCCTCCCTCCCTCCATCCTCCATCCTCCCTCCTTACACAGAAACAGGTTCCTCAACCAAACCAAAGGAAAACTCCATATCTATTTACCCTTTTTACCCACCTCCAAATTCCTGCTCATGTAAATGTTCATGTGTGTGTGATGAAAGCATGCACATATATGTAAAAGTAAAAAGTCTTTCTCATTTTTCACACGTCCATCACCCAAAAGTGGTAAAAATATTGTTGGGGTAACATAAATTCCCTCCAGAGAGAAGAGATCATCTGAAAGTGCATTAAGTCAAAAGCGATGTTTCATCATCGCTTTACCTTATAAAGAAAACGTTGGAAAAAAACACACATTAAACCCTAGAAGGAATCTCCGTGTATTCTGCAGGAAGAGACCATTGTAATATATATTCTAGGGTTGCTGCACTACTATAACCAGATAGGGGTCTCGTCTATATAGGGTTTTGAAAATTTGACATTAATTTTGAGAACTTATTAGGAGAAGACTTTTATGGCACAATTACACTGTCACTGTAACGTTTTGTGCCAATGATATATGGTGTCATGTAAGGGGCGGCTGGAAATAGAGACCATGGTGGTCCTAGGACCAGCGAGTCCGGAAAATATATATGTGAAAGTCTTTCGTGGACCCTTCGAATGGTTGGTATGAGCTCATTTTGTGCCTATTAAATATTTGATGTAATGTATTACATTGACAACACTCACAAATTCTCTCTCTATATCACTTATCAGATTGTTTTGGCATATGCCAATATCTGTTGACATGTGCACAACAATCCCATCAAGTGATTAACTAATTTTTGTTCCTATCTAAAAAACTTGTATTTAGCACATGAACCCCCTAGTGTTCAAATCATTGATCCACCACTGGTCATGTATGAATTTTTTCCTTCCACATGACACAATATCATTGATAGCAGTGTAACCATGTCATGAAAGTTGCCTTCCATTCTTATGCTCTTTTTTCTATCTAGGGTTGCTGATTGGTCGTTGAGGGTTTCAACATGTAGCTAGAATGGTTCCAAAAGTAAAAACAATGGATTATTTGTTTCTCTCTGTGCCCGGATTAATTAATGGTTGCTCTTAATTTGTGGATTACATTATTTAATCGAATTTGATTCCCCTGGGTTGGTGGACTATTTGGAGGATTAGAGAGAATGATGGAGCATAGAATTACACAAGAGATCAACAGATCCATATTCCATAGAAGTGCTTCTTAAAATCTTAGAATTTATTAAGAAGGGATTTGACTTGATTTCATGTTGATTATATATTATGGGATGTGTTATCCACACATCCCTTTTTACTTCTCACATACCCTTTGTTAATTTCTGTCCGTTGATCTTCTTCAATTCATTTGATCCGACGGCCGAAAATTAGAAGGATATGTGAGAAGTAAAAAATGATGTTGTGATATCACACCCCTATACTATAATGTGTTATTAATTGATCTCTGAACTCTCTCAGTACTTTGGGATATTGTAGCTGAAATGACTTTTGATGTCAGTTACTAGTCAGTCCTTTCAACAATTTACAACTTCATAGATACAGTTAAAAGTTCCCTAGTTTCCACCTCTCTTTGGCAGAAGGGTAAGAAACAAATGAAATAAACATAAAAACAAGCACAAAGAAACCTCCTCCCTCCCTCCCTCTCTCATGATTCAAGTAGTCTGAGAACTGGCAGTCAACTAATGGTAACTACTGTGTATTTGTTTGAATTTCTGCTTACAACCTGAACAGGTACCTAGTAGATCTGAAAAAATTGATGGGAGTTTTATGTCTTTGGACCTCCATCTATCTAGCTATCTAACATGTGGAATGGAATATATATCACACCTCTCATAAACCCTAATGCAACACTACTTAATCATCATATCTTCCCTGGCACATCAAGAGATATAAAATTCTAACTTCTACTGTACCTTTTTCAGTGTGCTCTCTGCCATTTAACTTCCAGTTTCAAGCATAACATGGTATCGTCACATCAATATATAGCAGAAACTAATACGCTGAAAACCCTCCATTGATCAGAACTGGAAAATGAATATTTGATTGACAAGGCAGATAGTTAAGAAAATAAAGTGCAATCAATTTATCTTGAATTCAATTAATATGTGCACAGTTTGAATCCTTAATTAAGGGTTTGCCAAGAAAGAGATGGAAAAAGATGAAGGAAAAAGGAAATTGAAAGTGATCAGTTTCTTCTAATTCTCTCCTAAAAAAAAAAAAAAAAAAAAGCATTGCAACAATTAATATGATCAAGATGATTAGCTAGCCAATAATACAACTGCATGCCAATTGGCCAGGCCAACTATACTTTCATTTCACCTTTGGAGGGTCACCAAGCCTGAGCTCGAGATCCAAATCTTCCATGGAGCTTGCCACAAGTGCTCCAGCTACCTCTATTTCTGATTGCAGAGAAAATGGAAATGATGAAGAAATAGCTGCATTAGTTGTAGTCTTAGGCCTCTTACAACTCATGCTTGCTTCTTCCCCACAAGACCCTCCTTGTGATCTACTTCTGCTAACAACCGAGATATTCAAGCCCATCGACAAATCGGTTTCGACATTATAGTAATCACCATGATCATAATTACCTAGAAGTGATACGGAGTCATCTTCCCTGATCATATTCTCCTTTTCCAATTGGTCATCGGGTTTTGAATTATCTGATGACCAAGATGGAGCTACAGTAGCAGCAGTAGTAGATGAAAAAGGAGGAGAGAAAAAAAAAGCTGGTTCTTCAGTACCTGAATTCTCCTTTTGAGCAGCTAGTAAATTAGCTGCAGACGAGGGAACCCTAGAAGAAGAAGGTGAAGAAAATGGATATGATATTGACGAGATGTTATTAGGGTCAATATTGTGAACTGTGGAAGCTATAGGCTGATGATGTTGATGATGATGATGATGGTCATGTGTATAATGGATATGATGTTGATGTGGAACATGATGATGATCATGTGCATCATGGATATTATAATGGTGTGGGACATGATGAGGATCATGTGTAGTGGCGGTAGTATTATGGTTAAGGCATTGCTTAAGTTTAGCTCTGTCTCTCCTGTGGACATTCATGTGACCGCCTAGGGCTTGAGCTGACCTGAACTCTCTCATACAAAAACTGCAAGAGTAAGATCTTGGAGGCCATATGCAACCACCAAGAGGACCATGCCCTGCCGCATCTTCAGCAAAAGCCTTCTCTTCCCATGTTGATGAGCTACCACTCATGAATGCTGATGAGTTCATCGATGACGATGATGGTGAGTTGAAGATCTTCTCTTTCCTGCTGTTTAGCCCCCCCCAGCACTGAACTTGTTCCATCCACAACAGTTAGCCCACCAAAAAGAGCAACAGAGAGAGAGAGAGAGAGATTATAAGACTAAAGTAGAGGTATTTATGAGACCATGAGTTGAAATATATAACTAAGGGAGAATAACTTAAATAATAAATTCTGATCCGTGAACCAAACTTATAACTTAAGTGATCGATAGCAATAATTTTATAAATTTAAATAGTACAATGTGGGCAATAGAGCTTTAATATATATGATAGACCGGCGTTACCTTCGCACCGAATATCATAGTTTAAATCTCCTCTCTCTCTCTCATTTTGGTCTCATTTGTAAAGATGACGATGGTGGGAACTCAAGAACATATGAGTAAGAGAAAGAGGTCAGCTGAAAGGGTCTTGGTATTAGCTTTAAGCTGTGCGTTTCCTAATTTCCTCTATTTTGGCTCTAGCAATGAAGCTACTCTTTTGGTTTTTAGCTCTTTTGCTACCACAGTCCTTGTTTCTAGTATAATCTTGGAAATTTATAGAGGGTCCCAATTAATTAGGAGCAACTATCATGCATTTTCTTTGATCCACATGCATGAAAACACCATGAAGACACTGTCGATAATTGATAACTGATATGTATAAAGAGGAAAACAATAGAAATATTCGCAAATAATGATCGAAATGAAATGCCTAAGCTATATGCAACCTACCTATAGGTAGCTAGACATGCACCAAATTAATTTGGATTGAGATAACAGCTTCCTACACCATGACAGTTCATGTCAATGACACAATGTTATATAGAGATATTTGCACATGACATTGTATCTGTGCCATAAATATTCTTTGATCAAAGTATGAAACTGTTAATATAGAAATGAAATTTCACTCCAAGTTTATACTTTATACCCATCAACCAATCGGGATTTATTATTCTTTGAAAAAGAAAGGAAAAAGAAGAAGAGCATGATGGCTCTATGGGAACCATTTAATTTTGAGACTAGAAGAATATGTAGGATAAGAGCCATGCATTTGCAGTAAGGAGACCAATTCGTAAGGAGACTAGAAGAATATGGGGAAGGGAGACCAATCCATGAGGAGAAAGAGAGTTCCACAGACAAGACAAAGACCTGTGAAGTGAGGGAGAAATTGATATAACATATATAATTATGTATATCTCGATGATATAGTTAACATGGTCCACCTGGTGCCCTTTCTTGGATCTCTTGTTAGTTCGATGAGATATGTAGTTAATTAATTTGAAAATTAATGGTTTTCAGTGCAAATTGTCCTAATCATTTAGTCCTTTTCATAGCGCATAGGAAGTTATCCAGACAATTGTTTAGGAGAAGATTGACTTGTCAACCACTTTTAGCAAATTTTATCTCATAATTACTATATAAATACATGTTTATCATGATAACTTACCATCATTGTAACATGGTATAGTAATTAACGCTAAGCGTAAGCTATGAGGTAAAACGGTACGGCTGCACCAAATACCTAATTAAGAGCATCTTTAATGGGTATGTCAATTTTTTCTATCAAATTCTTAATTAATGATTGATGTGGCATTTTGAAGCATGATGTCAAATTTCTTTATATTCCTACCGGTATGTTTTTTTTTTTTTTTTTTTGAAGAGAGACGATAGCTTTTATTGAATCAACAGAATTCAAACAACATCAACGAGGGCCTCCACAATAGGATCCGGAGGCTCCTCAAACCAACAAAACTCAATAGGAAAAGACATAGCCAATTTGGCCATACCATGTGTTGCAACATTCGCAGAATGGCGCACATAACAAACCTGAGATTCCACAAAGGTTTGCGAACTAGCACGAATGTCATCCACCAAAAGATCCATAGGAGAAGACCCCTGGAATCGGCTACCAACAACTTGAACTACCTACAACGAGTCACATTCCACAATAATGTGATCCAAATTCCTTTCCACTTCCCAACAAATTCCCTCACGAACTGCTAGAAACTTTACCATAGTGGAGCATGATGCAGAAGGTATTTGGCGAACAAAAGCTCCAGCATAGCTACCAACTTCGTCACGAAATACATCTTATACACTGCCTACATTCGACCAGAAAGGAAAGAACCATCAACATTGACTTTCACTCATCCAGCTAGAAGGAGACTCCAACGTGTCAGCACCTGCAGGGGACGTGAAACAGGACCGGGCCTAGCTTTAATAAACTCCAACAGTTATAACTTGAAATATGAGAGACTAAGGGCGGGTTCGCCACTTTATTCTCCCAAAGCAAGGCATTTCTAGCACGCCAAATGCCATGTATAATCATAAGCAGTAGCGCAAACTGCCATGAAAAATGGTCATCTCTGAGGTACCATTCCCAATCCGCCAGCGAGACCTTTTTCAAGGATCGATCTAGCTTCAAAGATACCCCGCCAACACACAAAAAGAGATGACCTAAGAGATGATTGCCAGAAAGAGTGATAAGTGAAGTACTTAGCCTTTAATAACTGAGACGCCAAAGAATCTGGGTTTTGAATCAACCTCCACCCTTATTTAGCAAGGAGAACAAGGTTGAAATCATATAATGAACTGAAGCCAAGACCATCCTCCTCCTTGGGTCGGCACATATTTTCCCATGACATCCAATGGATGTGATGAAAATCTTCACCATCCCCCTACCAGAACCGGCTAAGTATGCGCTGGAGATCCTCACAGAAGGTCTTCGGAAAGAAGAAGCAGTTCATCGAGTAAATAGGCAAAGACTGCCCTACAACCTTAATAAGAATCTCTTTGCCCGCAGCGCTCAGTAATTTCTCTTTCCATCATTTCAACTTTTTTCCAAAGATGATCCTTAATATAAGAAAACCGTTCAAAGTGATTTCTCCCAAGCACAATAGGCAAGCCAAGATAACGATCCTACACATCCACACGCATAACCCCAATATACGCAGCTAATATTTGGCGAAAACGACATTGCAACTTTTGAAAGTTTATACACTGTCCCAAAGCCTCCTCATAGAGATGCAAAACTTTCTTTAAGAACCAACACTCCTTAAAAGATGCTCTCATAAATAGGAAGCTATTGTCGGCAAATAGAACATGAGAAATGCTAGGCGTCCCACGGCAGATAAAAGCCCTATGAATAAAGCTAAGCCGTTCATAATGAGCAAACAAACTAGTAAGGCATTCCACACAAAGGAGGAATAAATAAGGGGATAGGTGATCCCCCTACCTAATACTATGAGTTGAAGCTTTATAACCTGTAACTTCACCATTAACCAAAAAAGAGTAAGTGACCGAACTAACAAAGCTCATAATTAACACAGTCCAGTGCAGGTCAAGGTCGAGTTGCAACATAATTCTCTTGAGAAAGCTCCACACCACACGATCGTATGCCTTACTCATATCAAGCTTCAAGGCTAAATACCCCTGTTTACCTCGTCGAAGATTATGAAGATAGTGACCCAATTCAGAGGCTATAAGGGAATTGTCGGAAATCAATCTTCCTGGAAGAAAAGCCCCATGTTTAGTCGAAATAATAGCATCAATCAGACCTTTTAGGCGATTCACAATGACTTTGGCCCCTATTTTGTAGAGAACATTGAAAAACGCTATAGGGCGTAGTTGGGTCATGTTTGTCGGCTCAAGGACCTTAGGAATTAAAGAGACAGCGGTATAATTTGGATTTGGATCCTCTCCTGAGCTAATGGAGAGGATCCTCCTGACCAATTGTTGTGGACCGTTGGATTTTCATCCAACGGCTAAAAACAGGTGGGTCCTGACCAATTGTTGTGGACCATTGGATTTTCATCCAACGGCTAAAAACAGGTGGGTCCTTTTAAAGTTATAATAATTATAGCCGTTAGATGAAAATCCAACGGCTCATAACACTTGATCAGGAGGATCCTCTCCATTAGCTCAGGAGAGGATCCAGATCCGTATAATTTAACTACTTGAGAATGCGACCAGAGGTGAGGAAAGACCTAACCGGTATGTTAGTTATTATTTTAATATCATATATGGCCCACTTTAAAATAAAATAAACAATAAAATCATTTTTAAAGCTTTATCTTGTGGATTACGGGCCTCACAAATTAAAAAAACAATAAAGTAGAAATGAAGGCAGCGTCAAAATTGACGCCTGAGAGCATCTCCGAAGGAGATGTCAAATTTTAAACAAAAAATTTGAATTTGAAAGCCTATGTGTCATTTTGACATCTTTCAAAATTTTGCTGTCCACCTAGTATGCCAAATTAAATATCATTTTATTACACTATTTTATTTTCTTTTTATTTTATTAAACTATTATTTTCTGGGTCTCAACCTTTGAAGGTTGATCAGCCACCACTTTGGCCATAGATAAAATGGGACTGTTTTGAACTGCAAAAATTGATGGGTTCTCATCTTCATACTTCATGGATCGCGGTCTTTTCCTCTTAGGTGCTGCAGATTCAAACCAAGACACTAAATTTTCATCACACCATAAAAACACAAAGAACCTAGCTTTGTTTGCTCACCGAAAAACTAATTCAATCCCTTTTCTCAGTCTCTCAGCAACCAAACAGAGCATTTGGGGTACCCAGAAAGAAATGAACAAAACCGAGAGCTCAGTGAGCTTATAATACCCATCAGCGGCGGACATGGAAGTGATGAAGAAGCAAGAATTCTGAGGGAAGGGCAACGTCTGCTGAGGAACCACACAAGGCGAGTTCGAGATCGGCGACGAAACTCTCGATTTGGCGTCGCTGGTAAATTTGTTATTGGGTTTCTCTGGATTCGAACTTAATCGAATCGGTGGCTGTAATTTCTTGCTTCTGCCTCTTCATCTCGTACAACACCTCCACGACCTCTATTTCTATCTCGTCCTGATTAAAAGATGCAAAACTGATAAAAAAATTAATAAAAAAAATATTTGACGCTGTTGTCAAATTTGACAGCAAGGGGAGAGCTGCTATTCCATGTCATGCCACATCATATTTGGCTTCTCGGTTGGAAAACATTGCACTGTCTTTTTTTACTGTTATTGCTGATTTGGACATTTTGACATCTCCTTTGGAG